CCATTCATCCGCCGCCGTCACCATGTTTCAGCATGATAATGCAAGGCCCCATGTCACAAGGATCTGTACACAATTCCTGGAAGCTGAAAATGGTCCAGTTCTTCCATGGCCTGCATACTCACCAGACATGTCACCCATCGAGCATGTTTGGGATGCTCTGGGGTCGACGTGTACGACAGCGTGTTCCAGTTCCTGCCAATATCCAGCAACTTCACACAGCCATTGAAGAGGAGTGGACAACATTCCACAGGCCACAATTAACATCCTAATCAACTCTATGCGAAGGAGATGTCACGCTGCGTGAGGCAAATGGTGGTCACACCAGATACTGACTGGTTTTCTCATCCACGCCCCTGCATATCTGTATTCCCAGTCATGTGAAATCCATAGATTAGGGCATAATTCATTTATTTAAATTGACTGATTTCCTTATACGAACTGTAACTCAGTAAAATCGTTGAAATTGTTGCATGTTGCATTGATATTTTTCTTCAGTGTAGAAATCAACATGTCTCCTGTGCTGCTGCATGTGCTATCAATTACAGTCTGTGACCTATTTCTTGGTCGACTTATATCAACATCTCTGCGCATTAGAGCTTTTCGGATGCTTGTGAACAAACACTTATCTTGACAATAGGTAGTGTTCTACCTTACCCACTTAATCTCATATAGCTACATAGTCTATCATATACACTACCAGTCAAAAGTTTTAGAACACCTACTCATTCATACAGTGCCTTCATAAAGTATTTATACCCCTTGACTTATTCCACGTTTTGTTGTGTTACAGCCTGATTTCAAAATTGATTTTACTCACCCATGTACACACAATATCCCATCATGACAAAGTGAAAACATGTTTTTAGAAATGTTTTCACATTTATTGAAAATGAAATACAGAAATATCTCATTTACATAAGTATTCACACCCCTGAGTCAATACATGTTAGAATCACCTTTGGCAGCGATTACAGCTGTGAGTGTTTCTGGTTAAGTCTCTAAAAGCTTTCCACACCTGGATTGTACAATATTTGCCCATTTATTCTTTTCGAAATTCTTCAAGCTCTGTCATTGGTTGTTGATCATTGCTAGACAACCATTTTCAAGTCTTGCCATAGATTTTTAGAGCAGATTTAAGTCAAAACTGTTAGATTTGGCCTTGTGTTTTAGGTTATTGTCCTGCTGAAAGGTGAATTCATCTCCCAGTGTCTGGTGGAAAGCAGACTGAACCAGGTTTTTACCTGTGCTTAGCTCCATTCCGTTTCTTTTTTTATCCTGAAAAACTCCCCAGTCCTTAACGATTGCAAGCATACCTGTAACATGATGCAGCCACCACTATGCTTGAAAAAATGGAGAGTGGTACTCAGTAATGCCCCAAGCATACCACTTTGTATTCAGGACAAAAAATTAATTGCTTTGCCACATTTTTTGCAGTATTACTTTAGTGTCTTGTTATAATAATAATATAATAATATGCCATTTAGCAGACACTTTTATCCAAAGCGACTTACAGTCATGCGTGCAAACATTTTTGTGTATGGGTGGTCCCGGGGATCGAACCCACTACCCTGCCATTACAAGCGCCGTGCTCTACCAGCTGAGCTACAGAGGACCACAACAGGATGCATGTTTTGGAATATTTTTATTCTGTACAGGCTTCCTTCTTTTCACTCTGTCAATTAGGTTAGTATTGTGGAGTAACTTCAATGTTGTTGATCCATCCTCAGTTTTCTCCAATCACAGCCATTAAACTGTAACTGTTTTAAAGTCACCATTGGTGTCATGGTGAAATCCCTGAGCGTTTTCCTTCCTCACCGTCAACTGAGTTAGGTAGGACCGCCTGTATTTTTGTAGTGACTGGGTGTATTGATACACCATCCAAAGTGTAATTAATAACTTCACCATGCTCAAAGGGATATTCAATGTTTTTACCCATCTACCAATAGGTGCCCTTCTTTGCGAGGCATTGGAAAACCTCCCTGGTCTTTGTGGTTGAATCTATGTTTGAAATTCACTGCTCGACTGAGGGACCTTACAGATACAGTGGGGAGAACAAGTATTTGATACACTGCCGATTTTGCAGGTTTTCCTACTTAGAAAGCATGTAGAGGTCTGTAATTTTTATCATAGGTACACTTCAACTGTGAGAGACGGAATCGAAAACAAAAATCCAGAAAATCACATTGTATGATTTTTAAGTAATTCATTTTCATTTTATTGCATGACATAAGTATTTGATCACCTAGTTTTTCTTTAAGAAGCCCTCCTGTTCTCCACTCATTACCTGTATTAACTGCACCTGTTTGAACTCGTTACCTGTATAAAAGACACCTGTCCACACACTCAATCAAACAGACTCCAACCTCTCCACAATGGCAAAGACCAGAGAGCTGTGTAAGGACATCAGGGATAAAAGACCTAGACCTGCACAAGGCTGGGATGGGCTACAGGACAATAGGCAAGCAGCGTGGTGAGAAGGCAACAACTGTTGGCGCAATTATTAGAAAATGGAAGAAGTTCAAGATGACGGTCAATCACCCTCGGTCTGGGGCTCCATGCAAGATCTCACCTCGTGGGGCATCAATGATCATGAGGAAGTTGAGGGATCAGCCCAGAACTACATGGCAGGACCTGGTCAATGACCTAAAGAGAGCTGGGACCACAGTCTCAAAGAAAACCATTAGTAACACACTACGCCGTCATGGATTAAAATCCTGCAGCGCACGCAAGGTCCCCCTGCTCAAGCCAGCGCATGTCCAGGCCCGTCTGAAGTTTGCCAATGACCATCTGGATGATCCAGAGGAGGAATGGGAGAATGTCATGTGGTCTGATGAGACAAAAATAGAGCTTTTTGGTCTAAACTCCACTCGCCGTGTTTGGAGGAAGAAGAAGGATGAGTATAAGCCCAAGAACACCGTCCCAACCATGAAGCATGGAGGTGGAAACATCATTCTTTGGGGATGGTTTTCTGCAAAGGGGACAGGACGACTGCACCGTATTGAGGGGAGGATGGATGGGGCCATGTATCGCGAGATCTTGGCCAACAACCTCCTTCCCTCAGTAAGAGCATTGAAGATGGGTCGTGGCTGGGTCTTCCAGCATGACAACGACCCGAAACACACAGCCAGGGCAACTAAGGAGTGGCTCCGTAAGAAGCATCTCAAGGTCCTGAAGTGGCCTAGCCAGTCTCCAGACCTGAACCCAATAGAAAATCTTTGGAGGGAGCTTAAAGTCCGTATTGCCCAGCGACAGCCCCGAAACCTGAAGGATCTGGAGAAGGTCTGTATGGAGGAGTGGGCCAAAATCCCTGCTGCAGTGTGTGCAAACCTGGTCAAGACCTACAGGAAACGTATGATCTCTGTAATTGCAAACCAAAGGTTTCTGTACCAAATATTAAGTTCTGCTTTTCTGATGTATCAAATACTTATGTCATGCAATAAAATGCAAATTAATTACTTAAAAATCATACAATGTGATTTTCTGGATTTTTGTTTTAGATTCCGTCTCTCACAGTTGAAGTGTACCTATGATAAAAATTACAGACCTCTACATGCTTTGTAAGTAGGAAAACCTGCAAAATCGGCAGTGTATCAAATACTCCCCACTGTAATTGTATGTGTGGGGTGCATGTTAAATACTATTATTGCACACAGTGAGTAATGCAACTTATTATGTGACTTGTTAAGCACATTTTTCCTCCTGAACTTATTTAGGCTTGCCATAACAAAGGGGTTGAATACTTATTGACTCAAGACATCTCAACTTTTCATTTTGTATTAATTTGTAAAAATTTTGAAAAACATAATTCCACTTTGACATGATGGGGTATTGTGTGTAGGCCAGTAACAAACAATCTCAATTTAATCTATTTTAAATTCAGACTGTAACACAACAAATTGTGCAAAAAGTTGAATGGTGTTAATACTTTCTGAAGGCGCTGTAGACATACTCACACCAACAACACAAACGTATTCACACACGCACGCACGCACACACAGGCATACACTCACGACACACATTTTTGGTATGGCATTGCTCCCTTTGTTAGCACAGAGAACACAACTGACTTCATGGTACAGTAGCTTCACAAAGTCCTAGGTTCGGATACAGTGTGTGTACCTGCCTACTGTATCTACAGTGCCTAAGGCTTGGGAAGCTTCCATCCATGCAGCACCCGGTGAAGGGAACGTGCAGTTATTTTTAGCCAGCCAGGGCTTATTTTCTTTGAATGAAAGGCTTGATCCGCGTCTGCTTCATTCTCTAAACCCAGGAACGTAGAACGATTACCATAATAAATTGTTCTACAAACATGATTCTACTATACTACAGTAGTGATGTGGATTTGGCTGGCCTTCGTGCTCTGTGTGTGTGTGTGTGTGTGTGTGTGTGTGTGTGTGTGTGTGTGTGTGTGTCGTGCTTAAATAAGCCACTGTAGAAAACCCCCTCGGATCATCTGCGGTCCCAGCCCACCTGCCACACACACATACACACACAGCTCCACTGTCACCCAGAGTCACAGCCCAATCAGAATCTGTCTCAGTCCCAGTCCTGCCTATTCTAGTCGATTACATACATCACTTTCCTGTGTTCTGACATCTCAGTGCCACATGAAATGTTGCCCCACTTGTCTCTCTCTCTGCTTCACTAACTGACTTGTGGTGATCTTACTCAAAGCGACGTAGTGAAATGGCCTCCTTAATTGTGATGAATGAGGTGTTCTTTGTCGCTAATTGTCTGCTAATTCTAGCTCAGTCCTAAAAATGAGTAATTTGCTAATATAAAGTCGTCTGACATGAGTACCAAAGAGTCATTCAATATCCTTTGTCGTACAGAGTTGTAATGTAAATGTGTGTAAGATCATGGGAATGAATGAGCTACTGTGCTGAAGGCTATGTTTTTTAGAATCTCTTGACAGGACTGTAGATGAGTAGAATGACTTAGAAGCTCCCAAGTACAGTACTGTAGTTATCTACCTTTCTCTCTCCTCAGCATTTACAAAGATGATCACAGTGAATGGTCAGGAGTACCTCCTGCAGTTGGTGGACACAGCCGGACAGGTGAGTCCCTCTTACCAGTTGAGACACCACTCACACATTAGAATGTTGTGGTCAGATTGCCAGTGGGCCACTACAGTATGTGAGCTCTAATGTAATTGGCAGAAAAGCCAGGTGTAGATTAGATATCAGTTGACATCCTTACTTAGCCTAGGCCTCATTCCACATTCATTAGCCAGGCTGACATTTCCTCATTTTTACCTAGGTTGAAGATTACAAGGTTAAGACAATGGGGTTCTAATTTCCCATAACTCTTTGCAATTCATGGGTTATCAACGGTGCTGGTCCCATGAATTCGTTAATTTTCTAACGCTTTCGCGTTGGAATTATTATGATGTCTTGTTTTTTAAACTAGATTTTTACCATCATAGAACGTCTACTTTATCTTTGCGATGTTTCACTCTCGGCAGGATGAATACTCAATTTTCCCACAGACCTACTCCATAGACATCAACGGCTACATTTTGGTGTATTCTGTCACATCGAATAAAAGGTAGGTAGCTCCGCTCGCCCTCTCCTTCCTTCACGCTGCTACTAACCCTTTGTTACTGCAACATGAACCCACATGGCTTCATCCCTGAGAGATCTAGCCGCTCAAGGTTTCTCTGAATCTATCTAGTATTTCTCTCTCTAGTAAAAGGCATGAATAAACCATTGAAGCTATTATTGATCTGTACATTTATATTTTTTATCTCTATGCTATTCTATAGTACTGGGCTCCTGTACGTTGTAGTACAGAACAGGTATTCATGCGTAGCTAAAATAAATGTAGTGTGGATGTGAATCAGAGATGGTAATTTCTAGCTGTGTGTGTCTGTGTGTGCATGCGGGCATGTGTGTACTAACTTGCCTCCATATCAGCTGGAGATTTAAATAAAATGACTCCATCTATCTCTCTCTTCTCTCTCTTAACCACACCATTTATCCTTTCTTTCTCGCACCAGCGTTCCTCTCCATCCAACTCTCTCCTCACTCCATCCATCACTCAATTACTCCCTTGTTCCTTCTCTCTCACTCTTTCTCTCTTTCCCTCTCTCTCTGTTAATACGAGAATGAACAAGTGGAAAGGTTCTCCTGGGCGCAGCAGCAGAAATTTGATTGGATTTGGTCAGATTTGAAGGGGAATAACGGCAAATTTCGAAAATGTGTCTATGTTCCTAAACCCCTCTGACTCGTTGTTGGACTGTCTCGTCAAAGTGCGCACCTCTCTCAGTGAGGGAGAGAGGGGTAGAGCGAGAGCTACGTCACAGGGTAATACATCCCCCCTACTCACTGTAGTTCTAAATAGAACTTTGTGGAATAACGCAAATCTACAAATAATCTCAACGTTCTGTCACAGCGAAAATACTGAAGTCCAATCGATTGTGAGATATGGCATACACATTTTATGTGATAAATTTGGGTTGCGGGTTCACAATTTGACAATTTCTGAGATCTCAGCCAAGCAAGGAGAAAGGGAGCCAACCTAATCCGCCTCCCATTTTTACATTGCAACCCCATTGGATATAATTTCACCTGCCAATCAACATTGTCCACCTTCCCTCTCTGACTGTAGGCTACATCCCTCGTTGCATGGTGTGATCAGATCATTACGGCAAAATATACAGTATCTACTCAAATTAGAGGGAAAGACTAGTGAGTGTGGAACATAATGTCCATTTCATAGGATGACACATAGGCTATAAGGCTAATTTATGTAGCAAATGTTTAATTAGATTTTAACCTTCCTACAGTAGCCAGCTTAACATATCCTTGTAAAATAATTTATGTTGCAGATATAATAGACAGCCTAGACACTGATGCATGCATCTATTGAAATGTGATTTATGCTCACTGTCAAAAGTATTATTAGCCTACATTTACATTTTCAAATCGATAGAATAATGACAATTATTTAAAAAATTATACTGGGGATTTCATTTGCAGGCCAGGGCCAAATTGCATTCCTCGAGCGAGCAAGAGAATGTGATAATTTAGGCAGATTTGATCAAATGGAGACGTATTCTTATAGCCTATGTTTGCATCAAATACCCTACTCCTTTGCTTCAGTATACAGTGCATTCAGAAAGTATTCAGACCCCTTTACTTTTACCACATTTTGTTACATTACAGCCTTATTCTAAAATTGATTAATTAAGGATCGGACCCTTTTTTTCAATTTTCGCCTAAAATGACATCCAAATCTAACTGCCTGTAGCTCAGGACCTGAAGCAAGGATATGCATACTCTTGATATAATTTCAAAGGAAACGCTTTGAAGTTTGTGGAAATGTGAAATTAATTAGATCTTTGAAATGCAAGAGAAAGGCCAGACAATGATGTAGGATTCTATGTGTAATTTAGATGTTGTCCACAAGATGGCAGCAGTGTTTGTGCAAAGTTTCAGACTACACAATATTTTGGAGTTTTCCCAAATGTGCCGAATTGGTAAATGTATACATTTTCATGTACATAACTATAGAGAACATACAAAAATGCTATGGTAATAAAAAATTACAGTTTACACACTCCCTGGATTGTCATACATGATGGATCATTAGCTTCCCTACAGAAAAGACACTAACCTTCACACCTCTAGATGGCTGGGCGGGGGTGGGTGTGGAGCCAGAGACAGCAGTGGGGTCAAACTGTAGAACCCATTTCCTACATTTGAATATAAAATAGATTTTTCAAACAAAACTACACTACATTTTATCTCTGGGACCCTCAGGATGACAAATCAGATCAAGATTACTGAATGTAAGTACATTATTTGCCTTCAGAGGTGAATGTATCAAACCAGTTGCCGTAATAAAAGTGTTTTGTTGTTGTGCACTATCCTCAAACAATAGCATGTTATTATTTTGCTGTAATAGCTACTGTAAATTGGACACTGTAGTTAGATTAACAAGAATTTTAAGCTTTCTGCCCATATAAGACATGTCTATGTCCCGGAAAGTTGGCTGTTGTTTACAACGCCATTTTTGTCACATATCGCATATTGAGAAGCAACTGTCCCAGTATAGGGACACCGATCCCGTAGAGGTTAAACTGTTTTCTAGACATAAAAACGGAAATACGACATTCAGACAAGTATTCAGACCCTTTACTCAGTACTTTGTTGAAGTACCTTTGTCAGCGATTACAGCCTCAAGTCTTCTTGGGTATGACACTACAAGCTTGGCACACCTGTATTTGGGGAGTTTCTCCCATTCTTCTCTGCAAATCCTCTCAAGCTCTGTCAGGTTGGATGGGGAACGTCGCTGCACAGCTATTTTCAGGTCTCTCCAGAGATGTTTGATCAAGTTCAAGTCCGGGCTCTGGCTGGGCCACTCAAGGACATTCAGAGACTTGTCCCGAAGCCACTCCTGCGTTGTCTTGGCTGTGTGCTTAGGGTCGTTCTCCTGTTGGAAGGTGAACCTTCACCCCAGTCTGAGGTCCTGAGCGCTCTGGAGCAGGTTTTCATCAAGGATCTCGCTGTACTTTGCTCCGTTCATCTTTCCCTCGATCCTGACTAGTCTCCCAATCCCTGCCGCTGAAAAACATCCCCACAGCATGATGCTGCCACCACCATGTTTCACAGTAGGGATGGTGCCAGGTTTCCTCCAGATGTGACGTTTGGCATTCAGGCCAGAGTTCAATATTGGTTTCATCAGACCAGAGAATCTTGTTTCTCATGGTCTGAGAGTCCTTTAGGTGCCTTTTGGCAAACTCCAAGTGGGCTGTCGTGCCTTTTACTGAGGAGTGGCTTCCGTCTGGCCACTCTACCATAAAGGCCTGATTGGTGGAGTGCTGCAGAGATGGTTGTCCTTCTGAAATGTTCTCCCATCTCCACAGAGGAACTCTGGAGCTCTGTCAGAGTGACCATCGGGTTCTTGGTCATCTCCCTGACCAAGGCCCTTCTACCCCGATTGCTCAGTTTGGTCGGGCGGCCAGCGCTAGGAAGAGTCTACGTGGTTCCAAACTGATGGAGGCCACTGTGTTCTTGGGGACCTTCAATGCTGCAGACATGTTTTGGTACCCTTCCCCAGATCTGTGCCTCGAAACAATCATGTCTCGGAGTTCTACGGACAATTCCTTCGACCTCATGGCTTGGTTTTTGCTCTGACATGCACTGTCAACCCTGGGACCTTATATAGACAGGTGTGTGTGCCTTTCCAAATCATGTCCAATCAATTGAATTTACCACAGGTGGACTACAAACAAGTTGTAGAAACATCTCAAGGATGATCAATGGAAACAGGATGCTCCATCTCATAGCAAAGGGTCTGAATACTTATGTAAATAAGGTTTTTTATTTTTAATACATTTGCAGAAATGTCTTAAAACCTGTTTTTGCTTTGTCATTATGGGGTATCATGTGTGTGTTTCGTGCACGGGACTTGAGCCTGGATGAACTCCCACCTTGTAAAAACCTTCTAGCCTATTGCGCAATATATTCCAAAATTCTAACAAAATACACCAGCGACATCATTTAGGAGATAAAGGTTGTGAGCACAATGTATTTGTGTGGCTACGATGCCATCTTTAGAGCACAGCACTTTCTGCTTGGTTTCTAGAGCATTGAAAGAGATAAATGAAATAGGCTACTACCGAGGTCTGATGAGGCTTCTGACAATATAGTAAAAGGCGTGTTGTATTGGGTGGTGTGCTAAAGTCTGATGTAGGCTATTTTGAAAACTGCCGGTGTGTTGTTTATGAGGAGCCCCCTCCTGCATGTGTTGTTGCATGAGCTGGATGCTGTTTCCTCCTTGCTTGGCAGAGGTCTCAGAAAAGGTACAATTGTGAACCTGCGACTCAAATTAATCACATCAAATGTATATGCTATATCTCACAATCGATTGGACTTCCCGAATTTTGTATTTTAGCTGTGACAGAATGTTTATATTTTTCGTAGAACTTTGTGGAATAGCACAAATCAATCTAGCGCTGCAGTGAGTGGGGGGGGGCTGTTTAACCCTGTGACATAGCTCTCGCACTAGCTCGACCTCGCTATCCCTGAGTGAGAGAGGTGCGCACTTTGACAGACAGTCCAGGAATGAGTCAGAGGGGTTTAGGAACATAGACACATTTTCCTTTAAATATAGAAGTGCATCAAAGCTGCACTTTCTCTCCTGTAATGCCTCCATACTTCAGACATCTTCAATGTCAACAGGATTCATACTGTGTCAAACTCTTTGTCCTGTCTAAGACCATCATACTGTAGCCTAGGTTAGAGTGTGTGTGTGTTTTAATCCCAAATCCCCTGGGTCCTATGGTAGTTGCCATGGGAGCGGGCCTAGGGAGACTTTCCCTGGAGAAATATTTTCCTAACCACATCCCATCATGTCTCCCTACTTCCCACTGGCCAGTTAATGCTGTCAAGTTGAGTTAATGTCCCCATTGATTTATGCATTTCTACTGACCAGCCCGGGGCTCAACATTCATTATTTAAATTGCGTCTCAAACCATGCATCAGGTCCGTCTGTATCATATACAGTAGGCCTCTACATTACAGCCTATGGCACAGATTAAACAACCTTTCTCAACTGGATGTCGGCAAGGCAACTAACAAGCAATGGAAAATGCACATTGTTAAATACAGCAACATTGATGGTTCTTCTCAGAAAGATTTGATATGCGAAGTAGCCTATCATACCGATTTCAAGCAATGGGTCAACCGCAACCGTCTTTGTTAGGTAACGTTCGTTAATGTACTCATCACAAACACAGAGACACACACACAGAGCGGCCAGGATAGGAGAATGCAGCCACGACGCAACGCGGAGTGCCTGGATGCAGCCCTTAGCTGTGGTATATTGGCCATGTACCACAAACCCCAGAGGTGCCTTATTGCTCTTATAAACTGGTTACCAACGTCATTAGAGCAGTAAAAATAAATGTTTTGTCATACCGTGGTATACCACGGCTGTCAGCCAATCAGCATTCAGGGCTTGAACCACCCAGTTTATAATGGCAAATATAGCATGGTCCGACCTGGACAATGTCAAGCTTTACTCCCATAAAGGATGCATTTAAGTACAAGTGAGAGTCTTCAAGTCTTCTAAGTATTAGCTTTGGAAGATTTTTTAAATAATTGATGGAATAGTGTTGTATTGATACTGGTCTTGTCTACAGTACACTAGGGCGTCGCACAATTGGCCCAGCGTCGTCCAGGGTAGGGGAGGGAATGGCCGGCAGGGATGTAGCTCAGTTGATAGAGCATGGCGTTTGCAACGCCAGGGTTGTGGGTTCGATTCCCACGGGGGGCCAGTATAAAAAAATATGTATTCACTAACTGTAAGTTGCTCTGGATAAGAGCGTCTGCTAAATGACTTAAATGTAAATGTTGAATGTTTTCACTTTCTTGTTATTTTGGCTGTTAAAGGTTTGAATTACCTTTTTTTGTTTTCTGCTGCAGTTTTGAAGTAATAAAGGTAATCCACGAAAAACTATTGGATATGGTTGGTAAAGTACAGTAAGTACCTTATTCTCCTATCTGTAAACATTTCAATCTGAATATCTAGTGTTTCACTTCATGATTCATTTGACTGACAGGACTTCCTTTTGTCTTCTGCAGAGTACCCATCATGTTGGTCGGAAACAAGAAAGATCTACACATGGAACGGTATGCCACACACACACACAGATAGTCTTCCCAGAGGAACCAGACAGTTTATTCCATTTTCAGCTTTAAATTAGATTTAACTGGGATTTAATGTTCTGACGGTCTGTCGTTATGTTTGTATGAGTCCGTGGAGACCTGGTCAAAGACATTAGTTCACAGACAGGACCAGATGGAGAGAAAGTATATTGCTTCAACAGAGGGTGGAGGGCTGGAATAAACCTTTAGGACTTGATCTGCTGGAGTTTTATGGGCCTTGTCATAAAATCCCCACATCTTGCCATCTTTGGCAGGGAGGGAAAAATGAATATGCCATTTCCCTGGCTGTCCTGTCTCTTTTAGACTAAACTACTGGCCTGTTTAGACCTTGACGCTAGGCTGGGAAACTGTGGTCCAGTCTGCTCTCAGCAATCTTTGGCTCTGGCTCTGTTTTAAAGACTGCAGGGTCAGGTCGGTCTGCTGTGTATTTGTTTGGGTCAGAGTGACGTTAGTTATACCTATTTCAGACAAAATCTACGGTATGTTATCTGTAAAAAAAAAAAAAATTTGCACTTTTTTTTACAGGCATACTGTACGCCTTGCATCCTGTTGTGCAGCCAGCACTGGGGACGGGTGGGAGTAGGGGTGTGCAGATGTGGGTGGGCGTCTTTTTTAAATAAATCCATTGAATATACAATTATGTTACTGGTCTGTGCAGCCTATAGGTCACATGGCTACGCCATGCAAATTAAATCAACGGGGGGGGGGGGGTTCTACTAAGCTAACAGATGGAATTGTTTTAAGATGGTCATACCAAGGGATCATTTAGCTATTTGATTTGGAATTTTAGGACCCTTTTAGGTATAACACTTTACTTGACACCCAGCGTCATAACACATTATGACACGGTCATAACCATGTCATTAGATGTCATAACAGCAGACATAACTTGTCATAACCTGTTATAATATGGTCATAACACTGTCATGACACATACATTTAGACCTGTTGTGACATATTTTGCGTTATTTTATAGCTGGTTATGACACCTACACAAGGCAAAACATTCCATTACACCATAGCCTACGTCTCAACAGTATGTTTATGTTCTATCATTTTTTTTTTATTGACCATATTAAATTATAATTGTAAATGATCAATGTCATTGATGTCAGACATGCACCTACCTACCCCAATGTTCTGTTGCTGATGACTGGCTGAATGCAGGAGCAGATTTCAGGAGCAGGACAAGACACCCTCTTAGACTGATGACTGACATAAGGGCATGTACATGATAGGCCTATCTGGCTTATATGATAATAATGGTCATAATGCTTCATGACAGTGTCATAAAGTGTATTTTCTACAACTTATTTAAAAGATGATGAAAAAAAACATGACTGTAAATAATTTATTACAACAACAACAACAAAGGATTTAAGAAACAAACTTTCAAACGAAAGGAAACTTCTTGGCAGGGAAAAAACTAATTTGAATAAATGTGGGTTTTGACACTCTTATGTAGGTGTCATAACCAGCCATAAAATAACGCAATATAAATGTATGTCACAACAGGTGTAGTAAATAATGTGTCATGACAGTGTTATGACCATATTATGACAGGCTATGACAAGTTATATCAGCTGTTATGTCATTATGACATGGTAATGACCGTGTCATAACATGTTATTAAACTGGGCGTCACAAAGTTGTATATATTTTTTTTTTAATGAAATATTGAATTTGGCCTTACTGCTATTAGCCCATAGAAACGCATTGAATAATAGATTCATACATGGAAAAACAGATGGTCAAAAATATTAATCAAAAGGAAGTTTGTTTTAAAGTGTCTGTCTTATATCTGAGAGATATAAAAAAGATCAGGAAATTATTATTTCGTTTTTTTACCCATATAAAAAAAATAATGTTGGGCACTAAACTACTTCCATATATACTTACACTATCTTCAGACCAGTATTGTGAGGCTTGTGGGTTGTCCTAGAGCAACAACCGACATGTACTGTATGTGTTCGTTAGAGTCTCATCTTTCCATAGATTGGTCATATTAGTTTCTAGGCCAAACCGTTTGGACGCTACAGATGTTTTTATGAGAAGACTGATTTTCAGGATGTCTCATGGTCTGGGATCGCTGTAGCTCGGCCACCTTCCACCGCAGATGCGGACGCAGCCCGTGCAAAAAAAAAAAAAGATATCTCTAGCTTAAACAGACAGATTCGTATTTGTATTTCTTATTATTATGTTAATTAGATTTCCGCGGGGTGCGGATATCGACTCTAGGGGGTTAAACAGACAAGTCACACTTACATCTCCCTGCCCTGATCACATTCAACACAACTATATGTTATACTAAGAATATAATGGAATATAACAAAATAAAATATTTTTCCCAAACAACTTGAGTGTCGGAGGAATGTGTGGAACCGCTGTTATTCTTTATAAAGTGGTATTTTTAAACAGAGACCATGTCCTTATTTTTTGGAGTTTGTTTGCTTTAGAAACCTTAGAATCTGCTCTTTCCGACCTTGTATAGAAATCTAATTTCTGAGCGGATGAACCTCTGAAGGATGATTTGAAAAAGTCAATTTTTTGGTTAAAAAAAAGAATCCAGATTGTTTTTTGGGGGGGCTTGTTACATATCATGCACATTGTTAGCTTGCTAACTGATGTGATCCACTTCCCCTGTGTGTGTCATCTCTTACCAGGCATGTAGAGTACACACTGCTTGCTCAACACACTTCTGAAAATGGGTCACTCACTCATAGACCTCCCTCTTTCCTCCTCCCTCCTTTTTTCATCCATCCTTCCTCCTGCCTCCTCTTTCATTCCCAGAATAAACAGGAAATGTAGCACAGCCACCTCACAGTGGGAAGTAGTGACAGCTACTCTGACATCCCTTCCTCCTACACACACACACACACACACGCACGCACACACTCTGGCCCCATTGAGATGATGGGCACGCTGTAAGCAGTGTTGAAGTGATTCATATGCTTCTCAGTGTGGAGTGAGTACAAACACAGACACACAGGAGCCTATTACCCTAAGGCCAGCTGGAATTGTATTAGCCAACTAAAGTAATCAAGGCGTTACTGATCACTTCTCTCTCTCTCTCTCTCTCTCTCTCTCTCTCTCTCTCTCTCTCTCTCTCTCTCTCTCTCTCTCTCTCTCTCTCTCTCACCTTCTTTTCTCTCTCACTTTCTCTCCCTCTCAATTTGTTTTCAATGTATCCCTCTCTCTCTCGCTCTCCTAATGACTTCTCAATAGTAAAGCATACCTCCCAAACTATCTTCCCACCCTGAAATAGACTAGAGACTAGAGAAAATAGACTAAAGCACTATACATATATACAGTGGGGGAAAAAAGTATTTAGTCAGCCACCAATTGTGCAAGTTCTCCCACTTAAAAAGATGAGAGAGGCCTGTCATTTTCATCATAGGTACACGTCAACTATGACAGACAAATTGAGATTTTTTTTTCCAGAAAATCACATTGTAGGATTTTTAATGAATTTATTTGCAAATTATGGTGGAAAATAAGTATTTGGTCACCTACAAACAAGCAAGATTTCTGGCTCTCACAGACCTGTAACTTCTTCTTTAAGAGGCTCCTCTGTCCTCCACTCGTTACCTGTATTAATGGCACCTGTTTGAACTTGTTATCAGTATAAAAGACACCTGTCCACAACCTCAAACAGTCACACTCCAAACTCCACTATGGCCAAGACCAAAGAGCTGTCAAAGGACACCAGAAACAAAATTGTAGACCTGCACCAGGCTGGGAAGACTGAATCTGCAATAGGTAAGCAGCTTGGTTTGAAGAAATCAACTGTGGGAGCAATTATTAGGAAATGGAAGACATACAAGACCACTGATAATCTCCCTCGATCTGGGGCTCCACGCAAGATCTCACCCCGTGGGGTCAAAATGATCACAAGAACGGTGAGCAAAAATCCCAGAACCACACGGGGGGGCCTAGTGAATGACCTGCAGAGAGCTGGGACCAAAGTAACAAAGCCTACCATCAGTAACACACTACTCCGCCAGGGACTCAAATCCTGCATTGCCAGACGTGTCCCCCTGCTTAAGCCAGTACATGTCCAGGCCCGTCTGAAGTTTGCTAGAGTGCATTTGGATGATCCAGAAGAGGATTGGGAGAATGTCATATGGTCAGATGAAACCAAAATATAACTTTTTGGTAAAAACTCAACTCATCGTGTTTGGAGGACAAAGAATGCTGAGTTGCATCCAAAGAACACCATACCTACTGTGAAGCATGGGGGTGGAAACTTCATGCTTTGGGGCTGTTTTTTCTGCAAAGGGACCAGGACGACTGATCCGTGTAAAGGAAAGAATGAATGGGGCCATGTATCGTGAGATTTTGAGTGAAAACCTCCTTCCATCAGCAAGGGCATTGAAGATGAAACGTGGCTGGGTCTTTTAGCATGACAATGATCCCAAACACACCTCCCGGGCAACGAAGGAGTGGCTTCGTAAGAAGCATTTCAAGGTCCTGGAGTGGCCTAGCCAGTCTCCAGATCTCAACCCCATAGAAAATCTTTGGAGGGAGTTGAAAGTCCGTGTTGCCCAGCGACAGCCCCAAAACATCACTGCTCTAGAGGAGATCTGCATGGAGGAATGGGCCAAAATACCAGCAACAGTGTGTGAAAACCTTGTGAAGACTTACAGAAAACGTTTGACCTGTGTCATTGCCAACAAGGGGTATATAACAAAGTATTGAGAAACTTTGTTATTGACCAAATACTTATTTTCCACCATAATTTGCAAATAAATTCATAAAAAATCCTACAATGTGATTTTCTGGAAAAAAAAATCTCATTTTGTCTGTCATAGTTGACATATACCTATGATGAAAATTACAGGCCTCTCTCATCTTTTTAAGTGGGAGAACTTGCACAATTGGTGGCTGACTAAATACTTTTTTTCCCCACTGTATGTATATATATATATATATATATATATATACGTTGTATTGTTTAAGGGCCTACTACTAAACTGTACAGTATATTGCCCTTTATCTTCTAACTGCATGCTCCTAGTCTGGTGTGTGTGTGCGCGCGTTTGTGTGCATGTCTGTCCTTAAGTGTGTGTGTGTGTGTGTGTTGACAGATCTCATTAAACAAGGGCAGGGAAAGGCTTGCGCCGGGGCGAAGTGAGGAACCGGCTGAACCTCAGGATGAATCAATAACTCCAGGCTATTAAATCACAGGAGTGGATGGGAGGGATACAGGGTGCTGGAGTGCAGTTACACCAGTCAGCAGATACGCCACTAGGCTATAGAGGCTATAGATTTAGGCTTGGCTGAAAAATACTAATGCAATGCAGTTAGAATCCATCGGGGGGGGGGGGGGGTGTCTTAGTATTGTGATGCTATCTTTTCAGTGTGTCGGCGTGGTGTGTAAATAACCTGGTCCCAGGTCTGTTTGGGCTGCGACCATAGGAGTTGACTATACAGGACAAACCGATCTGGGATCAGGCTAGTGTAAAAAGACATGGAGGAGAGATGGTGTAGCCTACTCTATGGCTTATAGTGAATGCCTGGGATAGTATAGGGAGAGTGACCACAGATCAGTTTCTCCATTTGCGCCTTACCCTCATATAGGTCATGCTCCCACATGTGGTTATAGACTGTTGTGTTACAAGCAAATGGTGTTCACTGTGATATTGTGTTCCCCTCAGGACAATCACTAACTGTGGGTATAGGATGTGCTGCTGTTACAAGCTAATTGTAGTCAGTGTGATATGTTTTTCCCTCTCCTCAGTGTAATCAGTTGTGAAGAAGGCAAAGCGCTGGCCGACTCGTGGAACGCAGCATTCATGGAGTCCTCTGCTAAAGAGAACCAGGTGGTGATGATGATGATGATTGGACACCAGCCACTCCCAGATAGATATATCGTTTTTGACATCTAGGATTGTAATGGGTGCCATCTTGGCACTGAATGTTCCAAGGCAATTACAGTCTAGTTTGAATACAAATTGGAAGAGTAATCTAAATGAAGGAACATTTGGTGCCAACATGGCCTGGATGCATCAATGCATCATTCAACATAATTGTTGCTATTTCCCTATTGTACCACAAGAGGCATGTTGGATCCATTGATCCATGCTGCTATGTGTTGATGATATCAAAATAGTGTTTGTATCAAATATTCCCCTCAGTCATCTAGAATGTTTGAATTTCCTACTTTCTTTCTATCCTAGCAATAACAATTAATCTGTCAGTTTGGTTTACTATAGATTGTAACATTTGCATTTGCAAGCACAGAGCAGACAAAACACCCATCTGCACAGCCCTGTTGTTGTGATATGACATAATTTCCTCCCTCTGACTTACTGTTGCCTGTGTGAGCCAGACAGCGGTGGAGGTGTTCAAGAGGACCATCCTGGAGGCGGAGAAGATGGAGGGGGGAGCCCCCCAGGGCAGGACGTCCTGCTCCTTGATGTAACCCTCCTTCCCTCCCCGGCCCCCCAGGCCCAGGCCCTCGCACACCGTCCCACCCACCTCGTCCCCAACCACAGCACTGGACACTGGGAAATCCCTCTACTTGAAGTGGCTAACTGCCTGTTCTCCTCCTTCCCTCAAGAAACGTCACTTGTCTTTTTATTTTTATTTTTTTTATCAATATTAAATGTTTTTATTTTTTACTTTTATTTTTTTCATTTCCAGAAGGAGAGACGAGGACTTCGACATTAAGAGTAACCATCCATCCCAGTTTAGGGTACACCCGTCTTGCTCCCCGACTTCCCCTTCTTCTGAGAAACCAAACGTGGTGAAATATCTTGCCTTACTTCTCCTCATTTGAAGCCTGTAATCTCTTTTCTACCTGACCTCCCTACCCCTCCCTTCCCCTTCAAAAGTTTGTATAACGTATTTCTTAAAAAGCTATTATTATGGCCACTATAGTTGGCCAACGTTCATTCGCTAGTGTAGAGAATGTTGATTCCGTTTTTTGATTGTAATCATTAAATCAGCATATTGTTTCACTAGAGTTTGATTTTCTTACTACTCAAAATTTGCTGGGTTTTTTGTTTTATACAAATTATCAGAATACACACGAGAATGTTTTGATATATCATATACTATATTAATTATATAATGTATATTTTCCCTTACCAGGGATTCAGTATTGTACTTCCAGTTGGCTCCTCTACCTCAGAAACTGTCAAAAGGCTGAGGTTGCCACCCAGTCAGGGAAAAAGTATGTGTCATCACACTGCTCCACACATTCACTCACGCCAGTTCTCAGAGGGGGGGTGTGATAATTAACGTTACCAAGGAGAAATGGAAACCTGGTGGGTTGGAATAATATGTGTTCCAGGAGAGATCTACTACTCGTTATATTCGACTCTATTAGCCAGTTGGAGATGGTTTCTGTCATGTACAACCAATTATAGTATACACAATACACTTCTAGCTGTTCTTTCCCCCATAGAATACATGCATTTCATCTGCCTGAGGATGAATTTCATTGTCAGAGACAGAGGCTCGTCCAGAAACAACCCCTAGCCCCCTACCTTCTAAGCCAGGGAAGATCAACTAGATTCAGCCGCGGGACAATTTTTTTCTTGAGTGGATGGTCAGGGGGCCGGAACATAATTACAAATAATTTGTAGACTGCAAGTTGACCGCAAGAAGCCCAAACTGATATAATATTTCACTAAAGCATAATAATTTCAAACCTTGCTTACATTTGTATACGATCACATATTTTTTGCATATGCAGTGCCTTCGGAAAGTATTCAGACCCCTTGACTTTTTCCACATTTTGTTAGGTTAAAGCCTTATTCTAAAATTGATTAAATCGTTTTTTTCCCTCATCAATCTACACACAATACCGCATAATGACAAAGGAAAAACAGGTTTTTAGACAACAACAAAAAACGGTAATAAAAACATTTACATAAGTGTTCAGACCCTTTACTCAGTACTTTGTTGAAGCACCTTTGGCAGCGATTACAGCATCGAGTCTTCTTGGGTATGACGCTACAAGCTTGGCACACCTGTATTTGGGGAGTTTCTCCCATTCTTCTCTGCAGATCCTCTCAAGCTCTGTCAGGTTGGTTGGGGAGCATTGCTACACAGCTATTTTTAGGTCTCTCCAGAGATGTTCGATCGGGTTCAAGTCCGGGCTCTGGCTGGGCCACTCAAAGACATTCAGAGACTTGTCCCGAAGCCACTCCTACGTTGTATTGGCTGTGTGCTTAGGGTTGTTGTCCTGTTGGAAGGTGAACCTTTGCCCCAGTCTGAAGTCCTGAGCGCTCTTGAACAGGTTTTCATCAAGGATCTCTCTGTACTTTACTCCGTTCATCTTTGCCTTGATCCTGACTAGTCTACCAGTCCCTGCCGTTGAAAAACATCCCCACAGCATGATGCTGCCACCACCATGTTTCACCGTAGGGATGGTGCCAGGTTTCTTTCAGACGTGAGGCTTGGCATTCAGGCCAATGAGTTCAATATTGGTTTCATCAGACCAGAGAATCTTGTTTCTCATGGTCTGAGAGTCTTTAGGTGCCTTTTAGCAAACTCCAAGCGGGCTGTCATGTGCCTACTGAGGAGTGGCTTCTATCTGGTCACTCTACCATAAAGGCCTGATTGGTGGAGTGCTGCTGAGATGGTTGTCCTTCTGGAAGGTTCTCCTATCTCCACAGAGGAACTCTAGAGCTCTGTCAGAGTGACCATCGGGTTCTTGGTCACCTCCCTGACCAAGATCCTTCTCCCCCGATTGCTCAGTTTGGCCGGCTGCCAGCTCTAGGAAGAGTCTTGGTGGTTCCAAACTTCTTCCATTTAACAATGATGGAGGACACTGTGTTCTTGGGGACCTTCAATGCTGCAGAAATTTTTTTGGTACCCTTCCCCAGATCTGTGCCTTGACACAATCCTGTCTCGGTGCTCTACAGACAATTCCTTCGACCTCATGGCTTGGTTTTTGCTCTGACATGCACTGTCAACTGTGGGACCTTATATAGACAGTTGTGTGCCTTTCCAAATCATGTCCAATCAATTGAATTTACCACAGGTGGACTCCAATCAAGTTGTAGAAACATCTCAAGGATGATCAATGGAAACAGGATGCACCTGAGCTTAATTTTGAGTCTCAAGGGTCTGAATACTTATGTAAAATAAGGTATTTCTGTTTTAAATTTTTAATACATTTGCAAGCATTTTCTGAAAACCTGTTTTCGTTTTGTCATTGTGGGGTATTGTGTGTAGATTGCTAAGGATTTTTATTTGTTTAATCAATTTTAGAATAAGTCTGTAACGTAACAAAATGTGGAAAAAGTCAAGGGGTCTGAATACTTTCCGAAGGCACTGTATCTCTCTATTATGTGTTGGAATACTTAGGAACGAACAGATTTCCAAAATTATAATCACTTTGCGCTAAATTGCTGGTGTTTTTACAGTCTTATGTCCCAACAATAAAAAATAAAAAATATATACAGTGAGGGGGAAAAAGTATTTGATCCCCTGCTGATTTTGTACGTTTGCCCACTGACAAAGAAATGATCAGTCTATAATATTAATGGTAGGTTTATTTGAACAGTGAGAGACAGAATAACAACAAAAAAATCCAGAAAAACGCATGTAAAAATTTTATACATTGATTTGCATTTTAATGAGGGAAATAAGTATTTGACCCCCTCTCAATCAGAAAGATTTCTGGCTCCCAGGTGTCTTTTATACAGGTAACAAGCTGAGATTAGGAGCACACTCTTCTCCTAATCTCAGCTTGTTACCTGTATAAAAGACACCTGTCCACAGAGGCAATCAATCAATCAGATTCCAAACTCTCCACCATGGCCAAGACCAAAGAGCTCTCCAAGGATGTCAGGGACAAGATTGTAGACCTACACAAGGCTGGAATGGGCTACAAGACCATCGCCAAGCAGCTTGGTGAGAAGGTGACAACAGTTGGTGCGATTATTCGCAAATGGAAGAAACACAAAAGAACTGTCAATCTCCCTCGGCCTGGGGCTCCATGCAAGATCTCACCTCGTGGAGTTGCAATGATCATGAGAACGGTGAGGAATCAGCCAAGAACTACACGGAAGGATCTTGTCAATGACCTCAAGGCAGCTGGGACCATAGTCACCAAGAAAACAATTGGTAACACACTACGCCGTGAAGTACTGAAATCCTGCAGCGCACGCAAGGTCACCCTGCTCAAGAAAGCACATATACAGGGCCATCTGAAGTTTGCCAATGAACATCTGAATGATTCACAGGAGAACTAGGTGAAAGTGTTGTGGTCAGATGAGACCAAAATCGAGCTCTTTGGCATCAACTCAACTCGCCATGTTTGGAGGAGGAGGAATGCTGCCTATGACACCAAGAACACCATCCCCACCGTCAAACATGGAGGTGGAAACATTATGCTTTGGGGGTGTTTTTCTGCTAAGGGGACAGGACAACTTCACCGCATCAAAGGGACGATGGACGGGGCCATGTACCGTCAAATCTTGGGTGAGAACCTCCTTCCCTCAGCCAGGGCATTGAAAATGGGTCGTGAATGGGTATTCCAGCATGACAATGACCCAAAACACACGGCCAAGGCAACAAACCTCCCGACTGGCGCAGCAGTCTAAGGCAGTGCTAGCTGTGCCACTAGAGATCCTGGTTCGAATCCAGGCTCTGTCGTAGCCGGCCACGACCATGAGACACATGGGGCGGCGCACAATTGGCCCAACGTCGTCCAGGGTAGGGGAGGGAATGGCCGGCAGGGATGTAGCTCAGTTGGTAGAGCATGGCGTTTGCAACGCCAGGGTTGTGGGTTCGATTCCCACCTGGGTATGAAAAATAAAAAAAATAATGTATGCACTTGCCACCAAGTACTAAGTCATGTTTTGCAGAGGGGTCAAATACTTATTTCCCTCATTAAAATGCAAATCAATTTATAACATTTTTGACATGCGTTTTTCTGGATTTTTTTGTTGTTGTTATTCTGTCTCTCACTGTTCAAATAAACCTACCATTAAAATTATAGACTGATCATGTCTTTGTCAGTGGGCAAACGTACAAAATCAGCAGGGGATCAAATACTTTTTTCCCTCACTGTATAGACTTTAGCTCAGAAAACTTGGGGGGGCCAAAAAAATTATTTGGCCCGCTACCCTAGGCCAGGGACCTTACGAGCAAAACATTTTAGCGGCCCCCCTCGTGACAGCGAAGAGAAAAATAGTTTTAAAGTTAATTTCCTGCAATTCTACACATTTTGCCGTGGGCCGGAGATACAAATTAGCAGTGTTCCAGCGAATTTCCTGCAGTTCTACACATTTTGCCATAGGGTGGAGGCAAATGTTTGCAGTTTTTAATATGATGACTGATGATCAATGGGCCCCATCCCGGTCGGTAATTCAACCATGCTTATTACCAGTTCAGATAGCTGGCTGCTAGACTAATTTACCAATAAATAAATAAATCGCTGGCATGGGCTAATTGAGTGACTGC